AGTACATGGTTGTTCAACATCATTCCAGCGATTGCTTTCACCTGAAATTTCACCGAAACTCACAAGATAACACCAAATGTGCACATATGTCGTCTTTTTTGTCTAAAAGAAATATGCATTTGTCCTTTTTGGAAGATTGTTAGTGCGATGAAGAAAGTATTAATTCCCTTTTCTCTCCGTTTGCAAATACTCGACGCCATTTGTTGACCTTGAACATTGAAATTTAAGGAGAATATTTTTGAAATGTCTTGTTAATTAGGCAGCATGGAGAAGGTATTGCTAGATGCCACGAAAAAGAATAGCAAATACTAGCATTTTAGTCACAATTGTATATTTATGAATATACGCATATAAAGATACGCCTAAAATATGACAGGTTTAATTTGGCAGATAAATCAGGAGAAAGCTCTTGGTCTGATGACCTGTATGTATTGGCCTGTCAGGTTGGGTTGCTTGTGGAAGAAAGATTTGCATGATTTTGAAATGCATGTGATGGATTAGTTAATGAACTCTTAACTGATTAATCAGTGAAATGCAGTCATCAAATTGATGCCTTTATGTACGGAGCCGTCCGTAATGTCCGTACAAGACGGTGAAACTTGAACCGAATGGGTTATTTTACTCCATTTTTTTTCTAAAGTAATTTCTTGGTCAGGTTCAGATTTCAGATGAGATGATACACGAAAGAACCAAAAGAGTAGGTGAACATTGACAGCGATCCAACGGCCACGAGGAGCCTTCTAGTTTACGCCCGGTTCGATCCAACGGTCATGATTCTTCCTTGCCTCGATCTCGACCGTCCTATGTACATGGGCATCCTTGTCAATCAGCATCTCTGAATTAATAACAGTTCAGTAAATGTAAGAAAAGGAAAGGATGAAAAGAATGAGAGTGAGGCTTTCGTTATTTCGCAAAAGAAAATTAACATGATCAAGCAGATGACAAGCAAATATAAGATGTAAGCAAAGGTGATGTAAATGTAATTAATTTGGATGGATCAGATCGATCTCAATTATATCATTCTAATAATGATCAACTAAAGGTGGCACAAACTATAGATCTGAAGGAGTGTGTAATCATGCATGGCAACTAATGTTATTGTAATTAGGTTTCTGTCTATCAAAGGGGACGTCTTGATCTGCAGGATTACTTGTTTGGTTTAATTAATTCGGTGACTTAAGAGGCTAACAATTCTCTGGTTGGATGCTGTCTCCATTGCAGCTCCTTCCTGTGAGCTTCCTAAGTCCCTATCTATCTGTACGGACACTTGTTAGTGAGGAGTGACTGCTAATAAATTGCTAATTTACTTGCTCAACAGCTCAAATCTTTTTCAGCATAAATGACTGAAAGTACTACTTTTTCTGTCCAAATCCTACATGCACCTAGAAATAAAACAGATCCAAATTCAAGTAAATAATTCAAGTAGTAGACAAATAATCGCAAATTCGACCTTAACATTGGACAACTGAACTGACATATTAGCATTGGAGAACTGAACATTGGAGTACACAATTTGCATGTGAAGTGATGCAAGCATAATGGATTCGAAAGTGATTAAGATAGTGTCAGTGGAGTACTTAGTGCAGAATTAGCGCTTAGTTTATCCGCACGTGAGCAGGGAGGCCAGCTGTGTTAAGCAGGCATCACAGAGTGGCAGTTCAGAGTCTGCAGAGCTCATGGCTGGAGTGAAACCAACAGCTCGAATAATAGAGATTAGATTAACCACATCGTTGAGGAATAACCTTGAGTCTCGGAGGCATGCAGCTCAGCTCAGCTTAATTCTGCCAAGAGACTGATTAATTAATTAACTAAATTATGGATCAAATTAGAGGTTGTAGTGCAGCTGTCCTTGTGTGGTACGAGCAAGTAGTACAGTGCCGTGCACACGAGCAGCAGACAGCAGAGGCAGCTTGGTTGGTGGTTACTGCTCCAGAAACTGAGAGAGCTGCTAATTATAATCAGCAATTCAGCACACGAATGGGCAGGACAGTAGTACAGTGCAGTACTCCATGTGAGTGCTAGCTTGTCTCTGGTGATCTGATCTGTGTGATGAGCTCATGATCTTGTGTTAATTAGTTAATTAGATTAGATGGCTTAGGGTCAGACAGGAGGTTGCATTGGTTGCTTGGTGATGAGCAGACAGGACAGAGAGGCCAAGGATAATTCTCATATGCATGATCAATACAAGATCGATTAATACCTGGATTGGAGTGGAGTGAGCAGTAGTAGTAGCAAGGTTGTCTTGCTCTGCTTATGGCGACATGGTCAGAGAAATTATGCTGCAGATGTAATTGAATTTTGTTTAGATTTTTTATTACAAGGAATGGATGCTGAATTTAGATATAACTGCTATGAATAATACTAAGAAATTAAGAATGGATGTGCATCCGATCAGTTTATTTCTCCACCTGATCCTTCCCGGCGAGCTCTACTTCCATATGTTTTTGTCAAAATGAATCAAACCGGCGGAATTCCGGCAGCGCATATCGGGCCGAAATGCTGAAGCGGTCATAGGCCGTGTTGGGCTGACAGGCCCAGATGATACTGGGCCATTTGGTCACAGGGGATCGTGTGGAACTAAACAAACTGTTAGAAACCGGCTCCGAATTCATGTCGGAAACCAAACGCCGAATTCACGTCGGAAACCAAACGCGGAAGAAACGCCACAGGAGACCAAACGCGGAAGAAACGCCACAGGAGATTGGTTTCCGACGTGAAATCGGAGCCGGTTTCTAACAAGTGGTATTAGAGCCTGCATGAGATCCATGGTAGAGGTACAAGGGAGGTGCTCCACGCCGCGACGACTACACAGGGTGTCCAGGGACGGACATGGACGCAAGGTGGAGCGTGGCGGCGATCAACGGAATTTGATTGGTGAAATCAGGCGGCGGTCTGAACCGTTCGATGGCTACAATCAACAGGGAGACGACCAGACGTGGTGCTCGGGTTGATGGTGGCGGAAGCGATTGGCGATCCAGTCGGTGGGTCGGACACTCCGGGCGGGTGGCTCGGACTTTCCGGTGAGCTACTTTCAATGGGGAGACAGTCAGGCGTGACGCTCAGGGTTGATTGAAGCTAGAGGCGATCGGCGTTCTCGATTGGTGGAATCGAACACTCTAGGCGGGGTGGCCCAGGCCTTTCGATGAGCTGCGTTCGACACGGAGACGGCTAGATGTAGCGCTCGGGTCGTTCGGTGGCTAGGAAGACGACATGTGATTTGTTGGCTTCGGCTCGTGGCTAGATTGACGGGTGGTCAATCGGAGGTCGGAGCGGATTTATTTGCGATGAAGTCTGGGCGGCAGGAACACGGTTTGGTGTCGTCATCGTGTAGGTGCTGGCGGAGGTCGTCGCGGGCTGTTTCCGGCGAAGGGAAGCAGCACGTACCCGTGTGGGGTGGAGGCGGTGAAGGATCATGTGGCGGATGTGCTTTCCAGGTCGGACACGGCTTCTTGGTGCAGGCGGGTCGAGGCGCAGAGGAGATCGACTCGAACATGTACGTTTCGGTACCTGACCGAGGAGAACAGGAGTCAAATGTAGCGTGAGATGGCTGCTAACCTCGTTTCTTTTTTGACCGGCAAGAAAAAGAAAACAAAGAGGGGAACTTGGGCCGGCAAGTTTTTGGGCTAGCATCGTGCACGGTTTCACGTTGGTTACTGTTCGAGGTACTGTTCATGCGCCCAGGTACTGTTCACTGGTTGGCAAAGCACTGCTCACTGCTTGTTACTGTTCAGAAGGCTTGTGGAGTAGTTTTTTGAACAGGGTATTCTATTATTCCCGGGCAACAGCGCGGGAAATCGTTGAGGGTGTCAACGGTCTGTTTAGCAGCACAGGGTATATTCAGAATCTGCGGGGTTTGCATGATGAGGATATATAGAATCTACGTTACTGAAGGAGAAGAGTAAGCGCTATGGTGGTAATATCTTCGGATGATTCAAGGCAATGGTGATTTTCTCAAATTATCGGATACTCAGTCTACGGATGCGAAGAAGCATGGATGTTGGATTTTTAGCTCGGTCACAAGACGACAAGGAAGAAAGGGTTCTCTTTGTGTCTGGTGAGTTTGATTTATCTATTTGGTGATGACGTGGGTTATCTGACCATGGATTAGATCAAGTCAAATTTAAGACGGTAGATGGAGTTGAACATGGTCTTCGAGAAGTTTAGGATGTGACAGCTATGAAGGAATTCAATTTCGTTTGGCAAGACGACTGTAGTGATATGAGAGAAGGTAGAGCACTATTGCAGGTGGAGTCAGGAGAAAGAAATTATAGGGATAGCGGAGTCTCTTGTTCACGGTGAGCCTGGTGGAGACTTGTCGGGGCTGCTCGACGTGAGCGGCAAAATAGGATCAACTCAAGTCCGGGTACACAAAGGTTCAAACAAGTAATGAATTCAGGTTGGCGTGGCATATTCGTCAAGGTGGAGTTTGTCAGAGTTTGTGTCGAATATGTGTACGTAATCCGTTACAGTTTAGGACTTGTAGTTGTAATAGGTATTAGGACTAGAGTAAGAGTCGGACTCTGTCATAGAATCTCTCATAAATAGAGGGGCGTGCCTGTTGTAACCGCATGGCGACATAGCATAGCGAGAGGGAGCGGCTGCCGGCGGTGACTGGCCGTGAGTCGTTGTAACTCTGATACGCTGTATATGCTGGATAGGGGAGGAGCGCTCGTAATCAGTGCCCCAGAGATGTAGGCCTCGGCTGAACTCCGTTATCAAATATCGTACCTCGGTGTCGTCATCATGTTTGGATCTCCTATGATGTTTCTTTCGCGTTTGGTTTCCGATGTGATTTCAAGACCGGTTTTATAACACAAACCCTATATGCCGGTCGGCCGTAGGCCTGGGCCTACACCAACTGCCCAACAGGCGCAACAGCCCAAGTACCTCTTAGCCCACGTGACAAAAGGTAAACGGTCTCAAATGACTAGTTATGACGAACACGACAAAAATGAATCCGCTAAACAAGTATATTTAATTATCCATGCAAATTCCACATATATATGACAAGTGGTAATAAATAGAGTAACATAAACACAAATAACTTACATCACAAATTCACAATACAAGTAGGCAGCCGATCGATACGTGTCCAAGCATACATATTGCTAGTTTAATTACTACTCGTGGAAATAAATAAAATTACTGCTTGCTAGCTACTGTACTTAACTTAACTCGAGAGGAGGAATTTTAATTTAATTTACTGTATAGCACACGAAAAAACACGGTGAAACACACAAGCTTAGCTAGAGCAGCTAGCTCGCATGCGCGCGCCTAGTGTTCAGCGTGATGACGTCGGCTCGCCGGCGTCGGCGACCTCGACGCTGGTGGTGCAGGCGAGGAGGCGGTGGAAGAGCGCGCGCACGGCGCCGCACGACGCCTCCTGCAGCCTCCGCGCCACGGCGCACCCCTTGCTGCTCCGCCGCCGCCTGATCCTCTTCCTGTCACCGGCGGTGGAGGCCGTCTCCCTGGTGATGCTGCTCGCGCTGTTGACAGAGCCGGCGTCGGAGCCGCCGCCGCCGCCGCTGCCGGCGCGGTGCGGGATGAACAAGGGGAAGACGGCGGCGCCGCGGTCCCTGACGCGGCCGAGGCACGCCATTGTGCGCTCCGGCACCGTCTCCTTCTTCTTGGAGAAGGTGTAGCTGCGGAGGTAGATCTGCCGGCACGAGTAGCTGTCCACCACCCTCGGGCTGCAGTAGTACCACCCCTCGCCGCCGCCGCGCCGCGCGCTGCCGCTGCCGTTGTAGTAGTAGTGGTGCGGCACGGCGGGGCTCTCCGGCGGCGGCGCCGCCGCCGCCGCCTCGCCGCCGTGGCGCCGCGCCATGGCCACCGACCTGACGAACTCCGCGTCCGACTCCGGCCACTTGTACAGGCTCACGTAGCTCGCCCTCACCGGCACACGCGCGTCCACGCACCCGATCGCCGCCTTGCACCCGCCCGCCATTGCCGCTCCACCTCTCTCGCTTTCTTGATCACCACCATGCCATGGCCTAGCTAGTGTACTAGCTTAGCTAGCTAGCTAGGACGGCAATGGAGATGGAGAGGCATGCGTGCATGTGAGGGGCAAGATATAAAGGAGGAGGTAGAAGAAGAAGAAGATAGAGTGGTAGCTAGCTAGTACTCCACTTCACAACAACACACTATAGCTTAGATTAGCTAGCTAGCTAGAAGGTTGGCTTTGGTTGCAAGGAAAGGTGTTGCGATTTAGGCTGTGAGAATTATGTGTTGTCATGATGGTGGCTGCATCCCCTCCAATGATGCTGCATTGCTGCTCATGGATGCATGCCAATGCCAATGCCATCCTGGTCGGCCCATGCATACATGTGAGTAATTGTGTAATTAACTGATTGATTGATTAACCATGGTCAAATTTTGTGGCCTTCTGCAAACTGCCTGAACTGTCTGAATCTTTGAGCTTAAGTAAACAAGAGAGGTTATAGAAGCAGAGCACTGTCATTGTCATGCTAGTTTTGATCCATTGAATGACAGGATTGTTATTCAACATGTGCAGTTAATTAAACGTAGTTGCGTGGAATTTGCATTAGCTTGTAATGTTGTGTGTGTAATAACTTTGTGCAGTTCATGCAAGTGCAATCAACAACACTGTGTGATGGTGCAGAGTAATATTGATCTGTAAAATATGGTAGGCTTATGGAACAATTGAGCAGGGATTGACATGATTGACACTTGTGGTTAAGTACTAATTACCATAAGCCGGTGCGTATACCGAGAACCACGCTGACTATTAACAATGAACACTACTTATAAACCTTTGCTTATTTGGCTTAGTTAGGGGATAGGACAGTATACTAATTAATGGTAGGCCAGCGAGCAATAGCTAGCAGTAGTACTGCACAATTGCAGGAAAGAAACATTAAGCATGAGCAGCTATCAGGACAGACAAAAGTCTGGTACACCTTTTAAGTAATTTCCAGCACTGAAGTCTGAAAGTAACAGGTCTCTGTAGCATGCCTTTTTTTCATGCATGGACTAAAAGTAAAATGAATCTCAAAAACAGCAGGAATAAGAGCTAGATTTATCAGCATTTTGATCTGGTTTAGTTTATTCAGACTGGGGATATCAATCAATGAAGTAATTTCTGTTGTGCAAGACAGCATTTCCAGGTGCTTAGATCAGCTGTCATTTGTCAATATATTTATAGGGTGGACATGAACACTATTGCATTGTGTACATGTGTGCTTGTGTTTCATTGATGATTCTATTGTGTGTGATATGCAGGGGTCAAGTGCTACATTACATAGAGGGACTTTCTGAAAGTTCAGGTAGGAAATAATCAGGTAGCACTGTTATTCAGAATGATTCAGGCCTACATATCTTTAAGCAGAGTAATGAGATCTATCCCTTCTCCCCCTGTAAAAGTATATTGGAAAACAGAAACAGAAGAGTAAGCTACAACATTCTCTGTTGTTATTTCTCTCATCTCAATTTCATAAATTGCTGCACCCTCCCTGAAACGGAGAGACAAGAGAAGAGCAATACCTGTTTTCAGTCAGAATTCAGAACAGATACCAAGTAGCAACAGTTAATTTAATCAATTGACCTTCTGCAATCCCCCAAGTTGTTGAGATAAACAATACCATTGTGCACAAAGATGTGTCAAAGCAAAGGACATGGGTGAAGCACTAGATCGATGATGAACTGAAAACGAATGGCCATCATCAAGAAGGCGCAGGCAACACTACACATGCATGGGATATGATTATAGTCACCACGCACGCCATTGCCAGTTCTGCCTCTCTCTTCAGTGTCACTGATAGATAATCACTCTTGTCAATGCCAGGTTGATGATGTGTTCTTCCTTCCAGAGACTAGTAGTAGTACAGCACTCACCGATCACCATTTCACCAAGATCTAAAAAAAGGCAAAAAAGATTATGCATCTTGGAGTACTAATACAGTGTCATGAGACAGCATCATTGTTCATGGCAAAAAGGCAAAATTTTTCAGACCAGTTCTTTTCTCTCTGCTCTGCTGATCTGCTGTTGCAAACCTTGGTCCATACTTCAAGCAAGGCATGAATGGCATAGAGATACGTATACATCATACATGCTAACATGAATATACAGTCTGATGTACAAGTATACATGAAGCGTACGACACGTGGCACGAATCGGACGGTGGGATATCATTGGCAACTGTTCCTTCCGACGACATGGGAATCAGACAGCTCGATGGAGCTGTGGATTTGGAAGTGTCAGGAACAGACTCAGCACTTTGAGACAGAAAGGTGCTTTGACATCTTGCGTCAGTAGCATGGGAGACTGGGAGGACTATAAAATTTCAATTTCATTTAGTATATTCCATTGAGGCTGTGTTTAGTTCATATTAAAATTGAAAGTTTGGTTGAAATTGAAACGATGTGACGGAAAAGTTGGAAATTTGTGTGTGTAGAAAAGTTTTGATGTCATAGAAAAGTTGGAAGTTTGAAGAATTATTTTGAAACTAAACACGGCCTGAGCTTTCATGCTTTCCATGAATTGGATCTATATATTTGCCATTTCTTTTGTTTTTATTATATTTTGAAATTTGGGTTGAAATTTTGGTAATGAGTTGGAATATGGGGAAAAACAAATTGCTACTATTTCCGTCCTAAAATACAAATGAGTGAAATTATTACTGAAAATTAGATGACAACCAAAACATCTGATATTGCTTATGATTGTATTCTCATTTCGAGTAAAAGAGTTAACCAATAGGAGGAGTGCGTTTTCTTTTTCAACACATTGCACTGGTCGTAATTGGGCTCAATCTAAATAATAACTGGGCTAGTAAACGCAATATGGAAAGCCCATAACCTGTGTTGGGCCAGGAGGTCAGATCAGTAGTAACAAATGGACTGGGCCGTATTGAGTTAGTTGGGCCCACATCGAAGATAACTTGTGGGCCATGTATCGCTTAAAAGACATTCTGGGGCTCTCTGGTCTGGGCAAGTAGTATGCCGTACCTAACTAACCTAACAACTCAAGAGGCCCACAAATGGACCAACCTTTGTGCATCAATCAATCATTCATAAGCACATATTCAATCCAAGCAAGTGATACATGTGTGCAAAGAGGCGTATATACTCAAGTTCTCAGCCAAGTGCACACGTCATGATGCCCAAAATCCCTATTAGTGTAGGCAAGGAGCTTTCCTGTCTCAAAATAAACTAATCTAGAATAGAATATGATATAATCTATTTTGAGATAGAGGGAGGATATGTTAAGAGCACTCACACCATGTATTTTATAGAGGTAGTATAAAGTTTGGATAGCTCCTATGGAGATGAGCCCGTTCCTTTTTCAAGTTTTTGAGTACTCTACAGAAACAATACGTTGGGAGAAAATACGATCAGATGATCGAAAAAAACTATACCCAATATTGATAAGAATATAGGAAGCACTTGGGGTGGAAACGAGACGAGCCAGAGTCAAGAAATCGAGCTAAACATGAGCTTGGCTCAGCTCGTTTCATGGCTTGAGCCGGCTAGCGAGACTTTCATACGAAACATCTCTTCTATGATTTGTAGTTATTCGATGCGAACAAAACATCGAAATGCAAAACTAAAACAAGTTCACATATTCAATTCTTCATAATCGTATAATAAATCATAAGTTGACAAAAGACAACCCATGCTTACGAGCCATACAGAGAATAAAACAATCCTCATAAGTACATATTAGCTCAAGCTTACTAGCCAAACAAGCGGCTCGTGAGCTAGCTTAGGATATTCTCATTTGGCTTTCGAACAGAGCAGAGGCCAAATCAAGCCTGAGCTTTTTGTCCACTCCTAGGAAGAACTATATGTCTAGTGACGGACCTAGGACCCGTAGCCCTATCCTATCATTTATCTTTACCACCAAATGAGGCACAGGGATTTAGGAGAACACAAAGGAAAAGCATATATATATGTGAGCAAAAAGCTTATGAAATTTTCTTATAACCATGAATTCAAGGGAATTTTATAGAAAAACTAACATCCATCTCGAGCTAGCTATTCTTTTCCCATGCATAGGTTCGAGGCAAAGCACCATTGGAAGATATGTTTGATCTTACCTTGACGCTTTGCTGCATGTATTAGACCATTTAGATTTGATTTACTATATATTAACATAATATTTCTGTGTTTTTCTATTAGACCATTTAGACCATTCTTAGAGTTTTTCTACTTTTTTCAATCATTAATTTTGCATATACATTTCTTTTATATTTCTGTGTTTTTCCTCTGTACATGTACTCCTCCAATCCTACGTTTCAGGCGAGACCTTAAAATAAAACTCACATGACCAATCACTGCATCAACTCCTCAACTAAATTCTCAATCCAATTTTCAGTCGATAAACAGTCGTATGTCTAGCTGTCCGGGCTCTCTAGCGAGGGTGTCATACTGTCATAGCGTGTACTCCCTTAGTCCCTTCGTCCCAAAATAAAATAAACATAGTCATAACTTTCCGTGTCTAACTTTGATCATCCGTCTTATTTAATTTTTTTTTATGATTAATATTTTTATTATTATTAGATTATGAAACATAAATAGTACTTTATGCGTGACTTATGTTTTTTAGGTTTTCTAAAAAAATTAAATAAGATGAACGATTAAAGTTGTACATGGAAATAGATGTTCCATAGGTGATGTGCTTATTTTGGGATGGAGGGGGTACGAAAAGAGTGGGTACACACGGGGTGTCAAGACATCACCGTCCACTGTAGTAGGAATATCTGAAAGTCTGAATCCACCGTACACTACTACTTACTGCACCCGTGCATGCAATAGTAGAATTTCGTTATGGGCAGGGCAGTTACAGGAAATTAATTTAGGTCAAAGTCAAGCGTGATGAGCTCCAAATCATCCTCTGTTTCCTCCTTGATGGGCGCTCAATCTTCTTCCCTCACTGTCACCTCAGTATGCAAGCCAAGACGAACTCGCCTGCCAAATCGAGCAACTGCCTGCCAATCTTTCATTGACCCACTCTGATGCTTCTGTTTCTTGCTACTACAGATTCTTCTCTGTTTCTCAGTAGTAATTAGGCCTGTTCGGGATAGACAAAAGTTAACATTAAGTAAAAACATGCAAAAGGAAAAAGTCATAAGTGTATGGCTAATTGAGTTTTAATTATTATAAACTTAAAAATAAATTTATTTAATATTTTAAAGCAACTTGTATATAAAAATAAAGTTTTCGCACGAAACATACCGTTTAACAATTTAAACAGCGTTCTAACGAAACTGATGTAGGATCTGCACTTTAACTTAAAAAAAGGGACCTTAGTACTGTATTAGGCTATGTTTAGTTCCACACGAAAAATTTACTCCCTGTCACATCGAATGTCTGAACATCTACATTAAGTATTAAATATAGGCTGAAAAAAACTTATTTCACATGTTGTGACTAATTTACGAGATGAACTTTTTAAGCCTAATTGCTACATGATTTAACAATGTGGTGCTACGTATAGTAAACATTTGCTAATGATGGATTAATTAGGTTTAATAAATTCGTCTCGTGGTTTGCTGTCGGATTCTGTAATTAGTTTTTTATTAGTGCCCAAACAATTCATGCGACACCCTGTATAATACCCGATGTGACACGCTAAAACTTTACACCACTGAATCTAAACACACCCTTATTGAAATTTTTCATCCTTTTCATTTCTTGAGATGAATTAATCACGTACTAGTATGGGTGCAAATTAATTCGAGCAGCAAGTCACGCGAGAAAGTCTCGAGAGTCATCGAGTGCCAAGAAAGCGAGATGTAACCAGCTATTAGTCGGCACGAACCAAAATGAATTCCATTACTAGCAGAAACAGTGCAGATTCGCTGGCCAAGTTAGTACCAGTTTCTTGCAGCCACTCTTAATATCATCATCTATCATCTCTCTGGTCCTCCTGCACCGAACAGTGTATTAATTCGGGATGCAAAATTATTTCGTGCAAGAAAAAGAAGGCAGTACATACATGAGTACAGATATTCAATTTTGGGACGCGTTATTGATGTTTTCAAGTTAAATTTGGCATGTCTTGTATTGTATTTCGTCGTCTTTTGAGAGGAGATAGAGCTAGAGTTGAAAAATCTCTGAAAGTCAATTTGCAACCAGTCTGAAGTTTACATGTGATGGGCATTAATTAATTGCTGGGAATTTGGCAGAAGTTTGTAGCTTTTCTCCAACTCGTTTGGAAGGAAATACATGCATTAGGCACAGGAGGAGGATAAAATGGGATCACGAGGAACACATGTTTTCTTGTACGTTCTACGTCTTCTTCTTCCTATCCTTGTTCTTGTTGCTGTTGCAGATCAGGAGAAGAATCGGAATGAAAACAAAATAAAAAACACTGTAGCTGATGATTGACAAAGTTTGAAGTCAGCAGGAACTAACTTGTGCGATTTTGCTAGCTAGTAGGGCCTTTCTTGCACTTATCACATTGATCCGCCATCCAAAAAATATACATATACTCCCTGTTATTTTTTTTGTTGATTTTCAGACACATCTTTAACCATGCGTGATAATTATTACTTGTTTTATTATGATTTGTTTTATCATTAATGTATTTTAAGCATAACTTATATTTTTAGATACTTGCACAATTTTTTTATCAAAATAAATGGTTAAATGCATATCAAAAGTTAAGGATGCCATATAGGAAGTATTATGTTATAGCATCTTCCTACCTTCTCTCAGATCCAATCAAGAAACAAGGGCAGGTCAGTTTAATGATCAAGGCCTGAAATGAACTAGTAAATGACATTGATTTCCTCCATTAGTCCTACTAACCACTGTGCATAGATTAGCAAGAGTTAACTTTGTTTGTGAGACATATGAGTTGTCAAATACTACACATTTGCTGCTGATATTGTCCCCTAGATTCTTTAAAACAAAATAGCTTTAGTTGGTTTCTTCTCCGAGACCCTTTTGAAAGCAAGGCAAAAGGTGTGGCTGCAGGAGCCATCAGAGGTAGCCCAAACACCTGAACAAAACATGGATCAGCCAATGGCGTTGCATCCTCATTGAGAAACGTAAGGAGATGAGATTTAGCTGATAGATACTAATCCTACTTAGCATGATGGACGAATGGATATCTATCCATCATCTTTCTCTGGATCCATTTGGCATTGGCATCTTGTCGAATTCTCCTTTCTGAAGCCACATTTTCCTTGTGATGAACAAACCGGCAAATTTGTGACATCTGTGTTTCTCAAAATTCAGGTTGCCTTGCCTGCCTCGCTCTTGACTTGCAGCTACAGGCCAAACCACTAGTCTCATGTGTCGCCGTCACGACAGGTATTTGACCACAGATATATGTACATACATGTCGTGTACAAGAAAACTACGGTTGCATTTCAGCTGCCTTATACTATAACATTTTTTTTAAAAAAAGATTAAAACTCAGCCTCTACATCCAAAGTGGATCGATGTATACAGTCGAATCTGCCAATAGTACTTAACTATTACTTCTGGGTTAACAATCTTATGAAACATTTTTGGGTTTTTCTTACTGTCAGAAAAGGTGTCTGAAACATGTACATCCATAATCCATTGCATGATTTCAGCAACATGGAACTCCATGGTAAGTTTCTTGAATTAGTAATGCATGTTCAACTTGACAAGACAGATGTTTCTACTAGCACAAGAGCCCTAGTATTTGGCAAAGTTGAGAAGTTAAGTTTGCACCAACCTGCTTCAGAAGAAAAAGGAAGTTTGGAAATACAAGTCTCTGAAGACAGTGTAACAGCTGGTTGTACACATGTACCATATCAGAAGAATTTGAGCTGAAGTGTCTGAAACTTTAAGCCGCCATTTCATACTGACCAAATAAGCTAGTAGGACAGACGTCTCCCTCTGACCCATCTGCTGACCTGAACCTGAAGATTGAGCAAGTAAATCATGTGTGGTGCAACCTTTTCAATACTACAAATTTAAACTGTTTGGCAGAACTAACCATCCGAATGATGATAGAAAACCATGCCTTTTTGGCAGCACCAATTCAACAAAAGGATCAATGCAACCGAACATCTTTTAATTTCAGTTTCCTTGAGGAAACCCAAATGTGCAACAACTTGTTGCATCCTTGTCATTATCATTTAGCCAGGAGCAAGGCACCAGCTAAAAACAGATAGAGGAAGGAAATATATGATTATTAAAACAGAGTTAGGTAGCATACGTCAAATGGTACAAAATTCAGTATACCATGCCTTTTTTTTTTTACTTTTGATATTTTCAATGCTGCCCATCTTCTTAACTGTGTGACATATTTATTGTTGATAATAACTATTAACTAATAACAGTGTAACTCTCAGTTGTACACAACATATACAACTGCACATTTCTTTATCGTAGCTGTGAAATATAGTTTCTTACTATTGAACATATACTGTTACAGAACATATAGTTTTGCACATTTGTTCAAAAAGAGCTACTCATTTTTTAACATCTGTTTATCATTGATCAACTCTCTTCTTCTATAGTGAAATGCAGGAGCTCCTTGCCGTTCCCTTGAAAAAATAATAATAGTAGAAGGCATAAAAATAAAATCAGAGAGAGCCTCAGAACAGAAGGGTCATTGAGAAACAGTATATCAACATGTAATTCTGTATGTTTTAGTGTATAACAGCCAGTAAAACTGAACACATTCACATACATGAACTGCATCTTCAACAAAATGAGAAAATTACACAAACAAATACACTACTAGCATATCACACATTTCTTGCTGTCATTAATTCAGACATCATATCAGCTGAACATGATCGGCCCCTCTCTCTCTACCTCCTCTTGTTCTTGCTGCCGACGAGCAAGACGACGTAGAAGAGAGCCCGGAAGAAGAACCCCCACGCCACGGTGACCAGCAGGCACTTCCACTTGCCAATGTCAGTGACGGCCTGCTGCGCCAGCACGTCGGCGCCGGTGGTGACGCAGGTGTTCGCCGTCATGTTGGTGCCGAGCGTCTTGCTGATGGCATCGAGCACCTTGAGCTTGACGGCCCTGGACATGGCGCCGATCGGCGTCCCGTCGAACATCTCGACGCCGCGGGAGAAGCACCGCGTCGCGTCGCGGAACTCGTTCTGGAGCACCGCCTGGTACGGGTACTTGACGAGCGACAGGTAGTGGAACCAGATCCAGTAGCTCGGGATGCGGTCGCGGTTGATGAAGAAGCCGGAGAAGAGCAGGAAGTAGGCGAGGATGGCGACGACCACCGTGTATCCCAGCATGACGTGCGGCACCACCGCGGACAGGAACGTCACGAACCCGCTCCCCGCCCAGAACGACGCCAGGATGATCAGCACGAAGAACAGGAACGAACCGCCGCCGCCGGCGAGGCCGACGGCGAAGAAGGTGGTCACCGCGAACGCCAGCGACAGGAACACCAGCGGCGGGAACGCGACGACGGCGTTGGCGAACACGTAGGAGAGTCTCCGGTACGCGTTGTGCGCTGTCTCTCGGAGGTAGATGTGGCGCTCCTGGACGAACACCGGCAGCGCGTCGGCGCAGACGTAGAACATGGTGGACATCGCCATGGCGAAGAAGCCGAGACGCTCCTGGACTCCCTTGGGCGTGTCGTCGAGGCGCCAGAAGATGGTGGCGAGGATGAACCCCGTCACCATGATCGTGCCGAGCCGCATCACGAACAGCTCCGGCATGCGCCCCGTGTTCGTGAAGGATCGCTTCATCAGCACCCACACCTCGACGGACAGCGGGTTCGCGAACGTCGGCACCGAGGTCGACGACGCCGTCCCCGAGCCGCTGCCGGCGACGAGCTTCCCCCTCGACACGCTCTCCGTGATGGCGAGCTCGAGTGGCATGGTGCATCGCTTGCTGTCCTTGCTGTCAGCTGCCGGGAGTGCGGCGTGCATGGACTGCCACTTGACGTTGAAGTCGGCGAGCGGGGCGGCGCCGTCGGGCTGGTGCTCGAGCTCGCGGATGGTGTCGAGCGCGAACTCGGCCGGGTTCTCGTTGTCCGGGATGGGGTCGCCGAACTCGGAGAAGAAGGGCTTGAGCCCCACCGGCGTGCCGGCGTAGACGGTGCGGCCGCGGGAGAGGAGGAGGAGGCGGTCGAGGATGTTGAGGATGCGCGCGCTGGGCTGGTGGATGGTCATGATGACGACGCTGCCGCTCTGCGCGATGCGGCGGAGCACCTGCACCACCATGAACGCGCTCGCCGAGTCCAGCCCGGAGGTGGGCTCGTCGAGGAACAGCAGGATGGGGTCGTGGACGATGTCCGTGCCGATGGACACGCGGCGGCGCTCCCCGCCGGACACGCCGCGGTGGGCCTCGTCGCCGATGATGGTGTCCGCGGCGCGCGCGAGGCCGAGCTGGTCGATGAGCGCGTCGACGCGGGCGCGCTTCTTGTCCGGCGAGAGCGCGCGCGGGAGGCGGAACTCGGCGGCGAACAGCAGCGTCTCCCGCACGGTGAGCATCGGGTACAGCAGGTCGTCCTGCATGACGTACGCGGAGATGGCGCGGAGGCGGCGCCCATGGAGCGGCTCGCCGTTGAGCTCGACGGCGCCGCGGAGGCTCTCCCGCGCGATGCGGCCGGCGAGCGCGTCGACCAGCGTGGACTTGCCGGACCCGCTGGCCCCCATGACGGCGAACAGCTCGCCGTCCCGCGCCTCGCCGGAGATGCCGTCGAGCAGCGCCTTGGTGGGCGCGTCGGGCGGCGCCGGCGCGTCCGCGGACGCCAGGCGGTTGCTGTGGCGGCGGCGGCGGCTCGACGGCAGGCACGACAGGACCCCGCCGCCGCCCTTCCTGACGCTGTACGAGAGGTCGGTGAAGGACAGCAGGTACGGCACCGGCGGGCCGGCCGCCGCGGTCGCCGCGCCGCCGCCGGAGTCGACGTCGAGCACCGTGTGGGCGGAGGTCGCCATGCAGAACGGATCACTTGCAGAATGGATCACACCGCGGTGTTAGTTTGCGGTGCGGTGCGTGTTGGTCGCGGCCTTTATATAGGAGCGTGTTTGGTTGGCTCGATTTGGGTTCAGACTTGAAGACTCGTGTCAGGCTAAACAATCGACTGTGCAAATTTAATTTACTCATCACGATAAAGTCAGCAATGTGTAATCAAGAATGTAAGGTATGGATCAAGTGCGCAATCAATTGCTTTTCTTACAACTGTTCTATATACGGAGAATTACGGAAATTATAGTGTGAGATTTTAAATTTGTAGCGTACAATTTGGAATTTGCATCGTAAGTATATAAAAAATTTGTAGTCTATGATATGGAGTTTATAGTATAAACAGATGTCTAAAAACTTGAATATTTTCTGATGGAAAATATAGCACCATCAATATGAATATTTCTTGATGAAAATTTGAGTAGTATTTATAAAGTTCAAAGCCTAAAATAATGAACTATACATGGGCCATTCTCATCACAATTGGGCTGGGCTCTGGGCCTGCTCGGCCCACCATTCAGTGACTCGGTGAACGTTGGTGTGAAGCATAGAAGGCGTGAACGTGCACGTGCCCCGCGCCGCCGAGAGGAAACACGACAACTCAAACCAATCCTGTCCGTCCATTCATCCCGTAGACAATCTGACCCGTCCATCCAGATCTGCGACGCCGAATAAATAGCCCTCCTCCTCCCACATCCCGAGCTCCGCCCTTCTGACAGCCGCCGCATCCGCGCCGCCCCCGACCTAGGATTTCGCCGCCATTCTCCTCCAAGGTTCGAGATCCTCCTCCCCGAGCTCCGGATTTTTTTTTCTCAATTTTTCTCTCGCTGTTGTTCGATTCCGTTCCTGCACGCGCGCGCGCGCGCGCTCGCCGTAGGTTCGTTTGTTTCATCGATTATAGCAACCTAGTGTGGGGAAGGAAGGGATAGGAGCGAAATCGGAATCGAACATGTCAGATTTGGAGGCCATCGACCATGGCTGCCCCATCGATCGCCGGCGCGGGTTTGTAGAGCTTCGCGTCGCCTGTGTGCCGCTCGCAGAGAGGATTTGGTCATGTTGCATCTGATTGGATTTACTTTTCGCCGAGGGCAACAAGTAACAAGCTCTAGATAATTTTTGACCTGAAATCAGAAAGCTCAAGTAAAAAGGGTAAAGCTGTGAAGCCTCTTAAACCCATATGTTTAAACCCCCACCCTTGTGCTTAAACCCCTCTTATGTATAGGTTTATGTGAGTATTAATGATAGCATAGACTGTTGGTGACGCGCTGCTTTCTTTGTAAGTGGACATTGATGATTCTATCATATAGTGCAAGCGCCCCAGTTTTTAGTCTCTGCTATGTGTTAATTAGTTCATGCAACCTAAGATGCTACAATTGCTCATATTGTGATTCTTTGTAGTTACATTGAATTGTTTGCAGGCACGTCAAGTAGATTTATTTCATGTTAGTCCTAAGATTACAGGTTCTTATAGGGGATGCTATGGCTAGACTTGCCTTAACTGATTCTTTGTGAACTTTAATGGCTGCATCTATGCCTGTTGATCTTGTGTATGCTGCTCTGGGCGGCAAGGCCTATCTAATCATGCCATAGCTCATCCTCTAATGTGATTACTTGCTAGGCCCCCTAAATATGAGTCTATTCTGTAGTGAAATGGATGTTGTAATTATCAAAAACTTCTATTCCGTTAGTTTTTCCTGCATAAAAAAGCATCCACTAACTGTAGATCTTCATTTGTACCAGTATTCATCCTCCTTCCAATCATTCATTAGATTTTGAATAGTACTGATGTATTTTTGCTGTTGTCTTCAGGAGATGCCGCGCTATGATGATCGTTATGGAAGCACGCGCTTGTATGTTGGTAGACTGTCTTCCCGCACTCGTTCTCGTGACCTAGAATACCATTTCAGCAGATATGGAAGGTACGGACAGAACCATGGTCCTTAAGATTTTATTTCTCTGAAGCGCAGATTTTTTGCAGAAGTTTATGGATTTTTTTTCTGTTAAATTTGTAATAAGCTGCATTTTCTGTGTATAAATGTAAAACACTATTACTATGATAACACTTGCTAAACAGTTGATATTACAACAACTTGGTACGTTCAAATTTCACTGTAGAAATTTAATTATTTCCCATTAAAATTGTAACCTTTCCAAATTGTGTGCGAGTCTTCTGTGCTGAGCATAGACTAGTAAGCACTGGATCCTTCCTACCCTTTCCAATGGGCCAGCTCATAGCAGTTGTTGGGTTCAGTGGTACCACTCTTTTTTCAGCTACTTTGTGGACGAGTTCCTTGAAGCCTTTTGGTGTGGCATTTTCTATTAATTCTTAAAGTATGCTGTAGAAGTACCCCCCCGGGTCTTGTGTGTTTGACTTGAATGATCTTGTTGAAGGTTTTTCGGTTTTTTACACAAACCGGGAGGTCTGTGATGGTCTGGTGGAAGGGGTGCCCTTGGTGGAATTGGTGGCCATTCTTCCAAAGTTTGTCGAGGACTTTGTTGAAGGGCGCCCTTGGTGTAATGTTATTGACTGTTTTAGTGGACGTTGCAAGTCGGTGATGCATTTGAGTACTTGAATCATGATGGCTTACTGTTTGGCAACCATTGGTGCAGAATACGTGAAGTGGAGTTGAAGCGCGACTACGCATTTATTGTATGTGAATTATTCTTCCCTCATTTTTTTCTCTCTTTTCTAAATTGTACCTTTTAGTTCACAAGTCCAACATTTTTCGGATGTCTCTTTTACCAAACAGGAGTTCAGTGATCCCCGTGATGCTGAGGAAGCAAGGTACAACCTTGATGGCAGGGATGTTGATGGAAGCCGCATTCTTGTTGAGTTTGCTAAAGGGGTATGCTGTTCTTCGGTTGCTTCTCTAAGCACATCCTGATTCTATTTTTTTTCTTTAATATGAAGCTGCTGCTGAATTGATCTGTATTTTTTGTTGACTGATGCTCTTTTCAACAAATTGAGCATGCAGGTTCCACGTGGTCCTGGTGGTTCACGTGAATATATGGGGAGAGGACCTCCTCCTGGAACAGGTCGGTGTTTTAACTGTGGGATTGATGGTCACTGGGCAAGAGACTGCAAGGCTGGTGACTGGAAGAACAAATGTTACCGCTGTGGGGAGAGAGGTCACATAGAAAGAAACTGTCAAAACAGCCCAAGAAATCTCAGGTATTGATTGATAAGTTGATCTGATAAAGAGCAGCACTTGCAATTGTTCCGAGGTACTGTATTTGAATAATTTAACTTAGATTTCTCCAATGCATACTTCTTTTTTTTTCAGGCGTGAGAGAAGTTATTCATGCTCTCCATCGCCACGCCGTGGACGTGGTCGCAGTCGGAGCTATAGCCGGAGCCGGAGCCGGAGCCGCAGTTACAGGTATGCTTCAAACGCCACATGTTCAAATTATAATACACCATGCTGTCTGTCCAAATCACAGATATGTTATGTTGACCTCACCCTGCTTCTTTTACATTCTTTATATCAGCCGGTCTAGGTCCAGATCCCTGTCTGGATCTCCCAGGGCACGCAGAGAGCTTGAAAGATCAAGGAGTCTTAGTTACAGCAGGAGTCCCAGGCGATCCATCTCCCCAGCAGCAAATGAAAAGAAGCGCAGCCCCACCCCTGATGGTAGCCGTAGTCCAAGGAGTCCACAGGACCAGGTGAGCCCACCACCCAAGGATAATGCTGAGCGTAATGGCTCAGATCACGGTGACAGCCCCCGGGGCAGGGAGAACAGCAGGAGCCCGTCTGATGGCTACCGTAGCCCTGCAGCTGCCAACGGGCGCAGCCCAAGCCCAAGGAACAATGGAAGCCCTAGCCCAATGGACAACGGTAGCCGAAGTCCTAGGGATGGAAATGGTGACGGTGGTAGCCGTGGTGGCTCACGCTCACCTAGACCGAGCGAGTCTCCTGAAGCCTGAAATTTAATCGCAGTCTATGGCGTTCGTCATGCTATGGTTGTAATGGTTACATTCCCGGTTTAAGACGAGATGAGTGTATTTGCTCTTTTCTCAAAAACGACAGCGTATTTTGTTACTTTGTGAATGTCATGCTATGGTTGTAATAGTCACAGTCCTGTTTTAAGACGAGATAAGTGTATTTGGTTCTTTTCTCAAAACGACAGCGTATTTTGCTATTGGTGTACGATGGATGGTCCGTTGAACTTCCAAATCACATTGTTTTTGCAGATAGATTTGTATCTTCAGATTGAAAATTTTGTTGCTTTGCGCGCTGAACGACGTCGATGGCAGTTACCTTTTATCTTTGAAGTGCTAAATGTTGTTGTAGACCTCAGAAGCTGCTTTGGAAGTTTGTGGTGGCTCAGGTGTTCTCGACTTCTCGTCTTCGTACTCTGAATCTCATCTCATGTCAGCTCGTGGCAACAAATGTGTGCAGCTAGTAGCTACTGTAAACAGCTACATTTGTCTTGTACTCTTGTCTCGTGTTTCTGTTGGTCAGAAACATGCTTGGAATTAATGCCCATAAAGAGAGCATAAGGAAGGATTACCCCAGTTACTAACGCTAACACGCTTTGCAGCTGTCAAGATTACCCCAGTTACCCCATAAAGAGACCATCACTAACACGCTTTGCAGCGGGCATTTGGAGTAGCACTTAACAAGCAGAGCCTAAAAGCAGTAAAGCACGCAGTAATCGGAATAAGGGCATGTTTGGTTGGACACCAGACGTAAGCCTGAGACCAGCCGGGACCTTGTTTGGTTGGTGTCCTGACCTTAGTTTCTCCTTCCCTGGCCTGAGCTCTTTTGGAGCCTTATTAGCCTGAGTCAGGCGAGCTCCAGGGCGGCGCAGCTACGCTCATTAATCCTAATTACCGCTTATAATAATGTAGTATAGGTACTGTAAATTGTAGAAGCAACCGACCATACAAATATATTTTATTTGTGCTTTCAAGGAGGGATACAACACATCCAAATATTTTATTTTTTTGCTAACACTTTATAACAACCGTAATAATTAAAAGCTTAATCACGTTTAGTTTTCACAGGCGCGGAAGAACAACCAAACAGACAAGTGAGACAAGTGTTCAGGCTGCCTGAGCAGGCAAAATTTATCATCCTATCAGGTAGCTCTCAGGCACCCAAATTTTTCAGGCATGTTGGTGAGGGCATCAACCAAATAGGCCCTAAGTGTGCGTACGACTGCACCTGTTCGACCTGCATATCACTGTACATAAGCTCAAGTTTTAAATCGTTTTGACAGGTCCAAGTGAATGCTTATGAACTCCGTGATTGATTGGTTCAGCGCAGTTGTATGAGAGTTGGATGTATAGCACTACTCCACAGTAATATGAACGCCAGTGGTCATATATGGATGTATATATACGACGCCAGTGTTCGACTGATGGCCGACTTCATTACGGCATCACCTGCGCGTGTCAGATTCTATTACAGAATGAGACATTTGCCGTCTGAGCCTTTCATTGTGGCTATGGTCATACTCTCTTCGTCCCATTTAATGTACAATCATGCTTTTCCGTACTAAATTTTGTTCATTCGTTTTATTTATTTTTTAAAAAAAATCATACCTAAAATATTATTTATGTTTTATCATCCCATAACAATAAAATACTAATTAAAAAAAATTAAACAACATGGACGATCAAATTTAAACACGAAAATTTATGGTTGCACTTAGAATAGTATGGAGGACACAATAGCTGGACAACAAGGTTGTACCGGCACGTATATCATTTTCGCCGTAATATAGCTCTCTTGTACTACTGACGTGCCGAATCGGTCTCGGTCTATAGAGCCCCGACCGAGCCGGACTCGTCCGACCGAGTCGGACTCCACCTCGGACTAATCGATCCCATTTAAATCGCCATCACTCCGCGCGCTCTCCCATCCATCCATCATCCAAGTCAACAAGACAAGCCCGAGTTTTGTGCCACTCTACACAACACACACATGGCGATCCTCCCCGGCGACTGCGTCGTGCTCGACATCGACGACGCCGCCGCCCAATCCACGCCGGTGCCGTACGCCCTCACGTTCACCGACCTCTCCTACACCGTCGGCAGCCGCCGCGCCGGCCTGCTGCCGCCGTTGCCGACGGACGCGCCGCCGGCCAAGGCGCTGCTCGACGGCATCTCCGGCGAGGCGCGCGACGGCGAGGTCCTGGCCGTCATGGGCGCCAGCGGGTCCGGAAAGTCGACGCTGCTCGATGCGCTCGCCGGGCGCATCGCGCGGGGGAGCCTCCGCGGCAGGGTGGAGCTCAACGGCGAGGCGCTCCACGGCCGCCGCGTCCGGGCGATCTCCGCGTACGTCATGCAGGACGACGTGCTGTACCCGATGCTCACGGTGCGGGAGACGCTCATGTTCGCCGCCGAGTTCCGCCTCCCGCGCGCGCTCTCGCCGGACAAGAAGCGCGCCCGCGTCGACGCGCTCATCGGCCAGCTCGGCCTCGCCCGCGCCGCGGACACCATCGTCGGCGACGAGGCCCACCGCGGCGTGTCCGGCGGCGAGCGCCGCCGCGTCTCCATCGGCACGGACATCGTCCACGACCCCATCCTGCTGTTCCTCGACGAGCCCACCTCCGGGCTGGACTCGGCGAGCGCGTTCATGGTGGTGCAGGTGCTCCGCCGCATCGCGCAGAGCGGCAGCGTCATCGTCATGACCATCCACCAGCCCAGCGCGCGCATCCTCAACATCCTCGACCGCCTCCTCCTCCTCTCCCGCGGCCGCACCGTCTACGCCGGCTCGCCGTCGGGGCTCAAGCCCTTCTTCTCCGTGTTCGGCTACCCCATCCCGGACAACGAGAACCTCGTCGAGTTCGCACTCGACACCATCCGCGAGCTCGAGCACCAGCCCGACGGCGCCGCCATGCTCGTCAAGTTCAGCTCAAGATGGCAATCATCGCTCGGCGCTCTCCTGGACACCAAGGACGACAAGGACCGCAGTCAGCGATGCACCATGCCGCTCGAGCTCGCCATCGCGGAGAGCGTGTCGAGGGGGAAGCTCGTCGCCGGCAGCGGCTCGGGGACATTGTCATCGACGTCGGTGCCGACGTACGCGAACCCGTGGTACGTGGAGGTGTGGGTGCTGATGAAGAGGGCGTTCACCAACACGAGGCGCATGCCGGAGCTGTTCGTGATGCGGCTCGGCACGATCATGGTGACGGGGTTCATCCTCGCCACCATCTTCTGGCGCCTCGACGACACGCCCAAGGGAGTCCAGGAGCGTCTCGGCTTCTTCGCCATGGCCATGTCCACCATGTTCTACGTCTGCGCCGACGCGCTGCCGGTGTTCGTCCAGGAGCGCCACATCTACCTCCGGGAAACGGCGCACAACGCGTACCGGAGACTCTCCTACGTGGTGGCCAACACCGCCGTCGCGTTCCCGCCGCTGGTGGTGCTGTCGCTGGCGTTCGCGGTGACCACCTTCTTCGCCGTCAGGCTCTCCGGCGGTGGCGCGTCGTTCGCCTTCTTCGCGCTGACCGTGCTGGCGTCGTTCTGGGCGGGGAGCGGGTTCGTGACGTTCCTGTCCGCGGTGGTGCCGCACGTCATGCTGGGATACACGGTGGTCGTCGCCATCCTCGCCTACTTCCTGCTCTTCTCCGGCTTCTTCATCAACCGCGACCGCATCCCCAGCTACTGGATCTGGTTCCACTACCTGTCGCTGGTCAAGTATCCGTACCAGGCGGTGCTCCAGAACGAGTTCCGCGACGCGGCGCGGTGCTTCTCCCGCGGCGTCGAGATGTTCGACGGGACGCCGATCGGCGCCATGTCCAAGGCCGTCAAGCTCAAGGTGCTCGACGCCATCGGCGCCACGCTCGGCGCGCCATTGACGGCGGAGACGTGCGTGGTGACCGGCGCCGACGTGCTGGCGCAGCAGGCTGTCACGGACATCGGCAGGTGGAAGTGCTTGCTGGTCACCGTGGCGTTTGGTTTCTTTTTCCGGTTTCTGTTCTATATCGTGCTGCACTTTGGCAGCAAGAACAAGAGGCGCTAAGCCCTTTGGTATGTATGTGTCAAGTGCATGTTTGTAATACTTCATTTTTTAAAAATTTTGTATTCATACTTGAAAGCCATGTAAAATTCTTTGATCAGATTTGATGATAATAAAGAATTGAGGAAATGTTCAATTCATATTAGGTCTTGTTTGGCACAATTACAGTTCTCATATCCACATTGGATTTGAAGTTTGTATGTTTATTTATAGTGGTTCAAAATTCTATATTTCACCTAAAATGAAAATAAAATGATTAATTCAAATGTTATCAATTTAATTATAGTTCCAGGTCCATGGATAGAGGTTGAAATACCCAGCTCTAAGAAATCTTGGATCTAGAGCTATGCCAAACACTCCTTTAATATCTGATATATGAGTTCACCAATATGCAAGTTCATATTCGGTCTGCATAAGTTCTAAAAAAACAACAAATTAAATTTTAACTAAGAACGGCAAAACATACTTTTTTTTAGAAGAACGACGGCATAAGTTCTGCTGGAATTTAAATTAGGGAAAAGGCCGAAGCCTAGCAAAGAGTTTACAGGGACTGTAATAGAGATGAAATACAGCTTAAGAAGCAAAGTAAATCAGGGGGGGCTTAAAAGCTAGTTTGCGCAAATCCAAATCTTGCTTGATAAGATGTGCTACTTCATTTACTGAGAAGTAAAAATTTTGAAAAAATCTTCTGTTTCTTTCTTGCAAGATGTTCCACCAAGTAGTAAGTAGCGAGCCTCTGATAATCCGTATTTGAGCTTTGCTTCCCACATGGTTGGTTCCATTCCACCAAGTTTCAACGTCAGGGGGATGGGACGAGGTTATAGGGGTCAGGTTTTGGAACTGGTAGATTAGAACTACAAAACATACTATCGAGGGATTAAAAGAGTTTCCCTCTAAACTTTGTAAACTTGTTCTGTTGTAAAGGTGGGTGACGATGGTTCCGTCGTACGCATATGCTATACTTATGCAGAAATAATAGTTTGACCCATTCTTACAACACAACAAAAAAAAAGTATAACAATCGAAAAGGGGATTGAATTAATTTGAAGCATAAGGTTATGCAAATTTTCATTAACTTTAGATTGAGACTCATCAATACGAGTGCTTCTTAAATAATGATGTATCTTCTTTTGTGTTGGTGTGATTTATGAGTGGGTTATCAGCATGCCATTTCATCTTCTGCCTCTTACCGGCTGGTGCATTGC